TCCGAATTAGGCCTTTTCTGGATGTAGTTTATCAAAATTGACGTAATTAATTACCTAATAGTTTGCCTAAGTGAGACCTATAGGCGTGAGATCTAATAGAGCGTACTGATTTTAGGGAAAAGGTTGCTGGTTATATAAACGAAAGATCTGCAGATTTTTTTGATGACCTTATGACAGATTTTAGACTCGTAGATGAAATAGACGAAGATGGTTCAGTTGATTATGCCTACAGGCATGACTTCTAAGCGTAATTGGTTTTAAACAAATACATAAATGCAAGAGTCCTATAGGCATAGTATCTAGAGTGAAGTTGGTTATTTATTAAACCTATGATTGTTTGCCTAATGGCATGTATATGTAGAAGTGCAGAAACCTAAGATCATGATTTCTATATGCAGAACTTACAGGCATAATTTCTAAAATGCAGAAGTGCAGAACTTATAGACATAATTTCTACGATGCAGATGTGCAGAACCCTAAGATCATGATTTCTATATGCAGAACTTACAGGCATAGTTTCTAAAATGCAAAAGTGCAGGACTTATAGACATAATTTCTACGATGCAGATGTGCAGAACCCTAAGATCATGATTTTTATATGCAGAACTTATAGGCATCATTTCTAAGATGCAGAAATGCAGAATTTATAGGCATGAGTTTTAAAAATGCAGAATGCGGAAATTGTAAATAACCTATAGGCAGGTTTTCTACCCTTGGCATGCATTCACCCCCATCCCTTTCCACTAGCCATCCCCAATTGTTATTACAAATTATTACAGACCCAAATGAATCAGAAAAGAAAAGTAAAATTACATCAAAATCTCCAGCTACATCCCAACATCCTAATTCAGACTTCAAGTCCAACAATATGAGATAAACCAACTTCCAGGATCAGATTTCCAAAAGCCTTTCTCATATTTGGGATGTGTCAAAGTTCCCAAGAGTCTCAAAGGGCTCCGGGCAGTGCTTACACCCCAAACACATTGCAGAATTAAGATCATAGTGCAGTGTGGAAATGCCAGCCCTCAGATGTCCAAGTTCAGAGGGAACTCAAGGTCCCAAAGCAAGGCTCATAAGAGAGGGCCAGAACTTAAGGGTCTAAGAATAAGTGTAAGTGCATAGAGGGGGAATCAGGGAGAGCCATGGTAGGCTAGTGGTCATGCCCAGCAATTAGGATGCTGGCACACCCCTGACCAACCTGTTAGCCAATTTAGGAGTTAGGATCTATTGTGGATCAGGTTATAGCCTGGGCAGCAATTAGGGTACTGCCAGGCCAAGAACCTTAACTCAAACACATAGAAGGGAGTAGGGGTAGGGATTCACAATAGAAAAAGCAAGGAAGGAGCATAATTAACAGAAATCCCTGAAAATAAGCAGTAAAGTAAACAAGGATGCTGAAACTGTAAAGTAAACACATAGGGGTGAGGCAGAAAATTAAATAAAGGAAATACCAGTTTCAAAGGAAAACAAGTAAGAAAACAGTATTCTTCGAAAAACCAAGTTGCAAGCACAGCAGTTTCAAAAGGTCTCAAGCAACGCAGAGTGTTGAATTCAAATTAGTAAGGTAAATGTGTGAGTTGAAAGTAAGAAGTTCGAGGTATTGAACTTGAAGTATAGATGCGAAAATATTTGATTGGGGGTGTGGATGTAAAGTTAGGTCTGTTTAAAGTGCAGAAAACCAATCCCTTTTATAGTGCAAAGAGAACCAGTAAGAAAGGTAAAGAAATCATTGAAATCAGTCTCCCTTTAGTTAAGAAAAACAATCAATGGTACACGGTTTGTGCCAAATATTGTAAAGGAATCAATTTAACAGCCATGAAATCAGAAACTGCAAATTCAATTGAATGAACCAAGTCAAGAAAGGTAAAGGAGGTTCAACCGAAGGAAAATCAGTGACAGTTTATCAGCCTTATCAAGGGGGTTTCAGAATCAATCACTTAGTAGGTAAAAAAAACCTTTTGAAAGAGAAATTTCTCATATATATAAGCACACAGATCAAACAAAAGAGTTGGTAGGTTATTTAGAAAAAGAGTTTAACACTGAAAGTCTCAGAGTCACAAGCAAAAGAGATTCAAGTTCAATTACAGGCTCATAGTGAGTCTGAAAGCCTAGGGTCCCAAAGTGGAACCCTAGTGCCACTCGTCAAAGAAACCCCCAAAACCTAGGGTTTCGAATAGAGTCAGAGGTGAGAAGACAAGGACATTGGGAGAGGCTCAGAAACCCTTTCTGAAAGACAAACATACACAATAGCAATAATACTGATTTAAAGTCATGCTTGAAAAAACTTGGAATTTAAACAAGTTTCAGAAGAAAGAGATGATACGAATTTAAACAAAGTAGGTAAAACATGCTTAGCAGGAACATAAACAAAACTCAGTAAGGTGAACAAAAATCAAAGAGCTCAAACATAAACACACATATAGCAAAGCATGAGGATTAATCAACACGAATTAATCATGCGAGCAAAAATAGAAGAGTCTTGCATAATAGAGAAGAGACAAGAGAGAAAACTCATGCATAATAGAAGAACGCATACGAGCGTGAATCACACAGAAAGAACAGGAAGCAATAGAAAAATATTTGAAGAAACCTTTTTTCAGAAACCCTAAAAATCGATTTTGAAAAGGAAATTTGGGGAAAACCTTTAAAACGTCAAATAACGCTCAGGCATGTCACAAACCTAAAAGAAATAAGCAAGTACAGAACCTCAGGCGGCTTAGAGTTGCAGAAAAAACCCTAGAATGAGAAAGGTCTTGAGGAAAGTCGGATCTTGAGTCGAAAAGACTCATATTGCTTGAATACGCCGGAATAATGGCCGGAAAGGCCATAGATCTACAGATCTGAGACAGATCTAAAGAGAGCCATTGAAGTCGGGCCTCCAAACTTCGAGTAGCTTAGGTTTAATGGTGAGAGAGAGTGAGTACAGGCCATCCATGGTCTGGAATGCCATGGATTCCGGTGGAAATATGGTAGAAACAGGTGGGAGATGATTAGGGTTTCGGAGTGGGCTCGAGAGAGTTTGAGAGATGAAGAGTTCAGAGGTGGCGTATCTGATAGAATGGATTAGGGTTAGGTGGGTTAGGGAATTAAAAAGGAAAGAAAGAATATCGGCCGTTGATCAAAATGATCAACGGCCTGCATTTAAAGGCAAGCCGGGTGGGAATTGGGTCAAGGGTCGGGTTAAAATTGGAAATGGGTTATTTTGATTTAGGGCGGAATTGGGGGTTAAATTGAGGTTAGAATTGAAAGGAAATGAGGCTATAATTGAAATAGAAACGGGTTAGATGTTAAATAGCCAATTTTCCCCTTTTCTTTTTATAAAAATAGTAATAATGATTTTGAAAACAAATTAACAGCACTGAACTAATTAGTAATACATAAATATTAATCCAAAATACTGGAAATAATTTTATAATTGTAAAAATGCTGTTAATCGTAAAATAGGCTATAATTGCAATTATATGCAATTTAGCTTTAGAAATACCAAATAAATTTGTAAAAATATACAAAAATCACCTTAATTATATTTTGGTGTAAATATGAGAATAGAAATAAATTATTCACCAAAATGATAATTTTAGAAATAATTATTGGATTTTGTACTGCTAGATTAGACAATAAATTGATTTGAAACCTTTAAAAATTAGGAAAAAATACCAAAACTCTAGGGCATGCTTATATATGCATGTACATGCTATTTTGAAAGTATTTTATATGTAAAAATACATAGGGAAAAATTGGGTATCAACAATCCTGCGGCTTCCACGACGTCAGGGTCCTTAATAACGTCTTTCTGATCGTTGAGTTTGGACCCCGACTTTGATAATTGCTATGCTTCTGAGTTCTTTCCTTTTAGATGTGAGTGAACGTACAATCTTAGGCGATGCGATAGCATTCTTGGGCCATGCGTTGTTCGCCTCGGATGCTGAATATCCCCCAAGGAGTGAGGAATTTGATTGCTTGGTACAAGCTGGACGGGATGGCCCCATGGCGTGTACCCATGGTCGTCCTATGATGGCATTGTAAGTTGTGTCCTGGTTCATGACATGGAACGTTGTTTCTAGGGTGACGCCCCCAGCCAGAACGAGCAGCGTTATTTCTCCTGAGGTTCGCTCGACTGCATTGTTAAAACCTATTAGTGTTATGCAGCGTGGTACTATCTTGTCCTCGAGTCACATTTGTGCAAGAACTCGAGGGTGAATAATACACACGCCGCTTTTGTCATCTACCATTATTCTTTTTAAATCAGTATCTGAATACGTAAAGTAATGACAAGAGAATCGGAGTGAGAAAAAGTCACACCGTTGGTATCTGATTTATCGAAGATGATACTTTCTCTGAGGTCATCATACCGTTCGTGGGTGATTGACCGCTTCAGTTTGTGTGTGGTGGTAAACTTTACGTGCTTGATTGCTTCTTCATCGCCTCCCCGATGATCATTTGAATGGTGCGGGTAGAGGAGGGTGGCTTTGGTAGGCCTTGGTGTTGTTCTCTTCCGCGGCTGAAATTGGCTCTTCCTCGGTCGCTCATTAGCTTCTTTAGGTGCCCTTGGTGGAGCATGTTCACTACCTCTTACCGTAGGGCTATGCAGTCCTCAGTTTTGTGACCTCCACTAGAATAAATCTAGCCTAAGGGCACACTAACTTTTGACAATGCTTAAAAAGTATTTCCAAAATTATATGTGGGAACACTTTTCAAGGGTGGCCTTTGATGATAGCTTTTGGCAACACATTTTATGGCCACGCTTGCAAAGCGTTCTTTTTAAATTGAAAGACAACGCGACGTAAGTGTTGCCAAACATAAATTAATTGGCAACACTTATTCATTTATATTGCCACGCTTTTAAAGTGAGCTATATTTGTAATTCTGAAAGTAACACTTCACAAGTGTGCGCTAAAGAAATTCAATAAAATTCCACCCTGCCTTTAAAATTTCCCGTGAAATATTTCCCCCCATTTTCAAAGTGCAAACAATTTCCCTCCTAAAATCGAGACATCAGTTCATTAGGTTTTTCGTTTTGCCCACCTACGCCGTAATCTACATAGACACTACCACTTCCTGTGCCGAATTTTCCTCCACCCTAAAATTTGCAGCGACGTCTCATTTTCTTTCTGAAATGTGCTATTATATATGCCAATATTTGCTTCAGTGAAATTCAACGAATCAAAAAAAAATCTCAATAGTATCAAAGTTCAAACACAGAGTTCATTCGGGTTTGTTTCATATTGCTAGTCTTAAGTTTAAACTTACTTGTGTTCAGATCTTAAACATTTCTATACTAGCTTTGCATATTGCAGTATTTCTTTTGGGATTAACCATTGCATATTACCTGTTTGATGGAAAGTTAGTCTGACCTATCCTTACCGCTGAAATCATTTTGGTTTCGAAGCAATTAATGAAGTAAAATTTCTTGGATAAATAGAAAAAATTAGTAGGATGTAAAAATTTAGTATCAAATATGGATGGACAGAAAGCAATAATGAGTATTTGAAAAGGAAGTGAAGCATTAAGAAGGTATTTTCGTGAGATGAAAATTTTTGGACATATTTGGTTTGCCTTTTTTTATATGCTTATATATTTTCATAGCTTGTTGATTTGTACGTACAGTACAATTTTCAGGTCCACCACATCTTACTTCATTCCATAGTTAAACTATTATTATGTCCTTTTCTTGTCAAATTAATTTTTTCAGTGCTTTGTATATTTTTGTTTTGCATTTGAAGCATTATAATGTTACTTCCCAATTGTGGAGTTCAAAATGTTAGTCTAAGTTTTCTACTTAAGTTTGACATAAAATTTTTGTAGCATAAACGTATAAATGCTTATGACTTAATGGCATACATTGAGGCTTGGTAGTTGAAACTAAAATATTTTGTTATTTATAAGGTTTGATAATTAATAAATATGCAAGAAGATATGGTATTTTTTTTCATGAAGCTTTATGGGTTACTGATAAAAATAAGCAGAATACATAGACGGACACTTAAACTATCAAAGAAAGTTCACTTCAACACCTCAACTAAGCCATCTTCCACCGAAACACTTTTACTATAATTTTACTGCACCAGCTTAACACGTCCGACTGACATGGCAAATAACGTGAGTATCACTACATTTGAGCGCGTGAACAATAGAAATATGCTGACAAAAAGCCTATTAACTGTACAATAAACGATAAAATCCCTCCTTTCTCCAATAATATAATTAGACCCTCCTCCCTCTTACCAGCCCTAATTCTTCACCATTCCCTCAAAATCCAGCCTTATTTCTTCACCCTTTTCTTGATTTTGTTTAAAATTTCTATTCTTCTCTCCAAATTGTGCTCGATGGCTTAATAAGCTCTCAATTATGTGTCTCAAACCAAGAGTCGATTCATGTAGGTGTGGTCATGAATGTCAATTGAAAACTTCATGATCTCCATCTAATCCTGGAAGGAGGTTCTATGGATGCAAAATTGAAAAGGTAAGTGACAATTAACTACAATTAATTAATTTTTAGTCCTGTTGTTTTTTTCGAGTTTAGTTTAAATGATTTTTTTTAAGGACAAAGGTGGATGTAATTATTTTAAGTGGGTTGACGACGAGTTTCCTAGCCAAGCGAATAGAGTTATTTGGGGTTTACTGAATAGGGTCAAAGCTTTTGAAGAAGAATGGGATCGAGCAAGAACAACGAAGAAGAAATTGGCTTCTATTACAGTAACGATGTTGATTATTTGGGTTTGCTACTGTGTCGTTAATCATTGAAGTTGTTGTGGTTTTGTTGGTGGTTGGAGTATTTTGTGGGCAGTTTGTAATAGTGCTAGATATATTTTGGGTGTATCTAGTTTGTTTGGATGTAATTGTGGCCTATGGCCTTACTTCAATGAAATGAAACAAGTTCTGCAGTTTGATGTGTATTGGAAAAAAAATCTGCAGTTTGTTATGCCTAGGTGAAAAATTTTCTGCGGTTTGTTATGTATTGGTTAAATTTTTATGCAGTTTGATGTTACCAACTGAATGCATACAAAATTGAATGTATTGGTTTAAATAGAATGCTACCAACTGAGGCATTTGAATTACATTCCAGCTAAAGTATTTAAACAGAGGCATTTAAATTGCATTTAAACAGAATGCTACCAACTGAGGCATTTAAATTGCATTCCAACTAAAGTGTTTACAACACTTCCAAACAACTAGCAAAATACATGAACTGGCCCAAAAAAGACACAATAATCAATCCAAGTTTGAATACTTAGCAAAATACATGAACTGAAACCCAAAATAGCATAGTCCTAACACAACTATAACACAACTATGGTGCTGGAGGGGCTGTATTGCAACTGAAGAGGTAGTTGCTGAAGATCCAATTTGGCTTCTCTTGTTTGCACTTAGTTGTTGTAGCGGGAAGTAGTTATAGTATTTCTGCCTTTAAACTTAAGCCCAGGAGGTTTAAATCCAAGATCAATAGTGACTGCATTGGTATCCTTTACAACCTTAGTCCCATATGATACAACTCTTTCACCCGAACTACCTGGATGAAATTAACATAAAAAGCACATAGATTAGTTTTAACAAATGATAGTAATAACAAATTGAAGTTGTGACTAGACAGTCTTCCCTCTCTTCTGTGTTTGTTTCCCCAGATGCACCATTCACTTCACTTAAACCTATTTCTGGACCACCAATAAGTCTAGTAGGTGCCACATCATCCACTACCTCAGAGTCTAGAACAATATGTTGAATATACAAATGTAACTCGTCTTCATTTTCAAGGTTAGACACAATATTCAATAATTGTGCATCACTATCCACATAGACAAAATTCTTAGTTTTCGGATCTTGGTAATAGAAGCCACCCACTGTAGCATATCCCATTTTTTTAGAGTAATATAATAGTTATGGAATAGAAAAGTGGCCTTTATCAATATCAGCTATTAACACCTCTTGTTCCCCCACATATTTCGAGTCATGGTCAAGGGTAAAGTTACCATCATGGTGTAAATTAACAGCAATAAAGTCTAACATCACTATTTTAATATTCCCAAATTTCTTTAAAAAATACCTAATTGTGGTCCCAAATCAGTCCCAACTCCCACAGAAGCCCAGTAGCCCACCACTAAAATGACTACAATACAAACACTAAAAAGACTTACCCTTTCAGCACTTCAACAAGTCAGCACCGGCAATATACTGATGATCGTTCTTCAAGCACATATTTGGACAAAATCAAACAAATCCAACAGATATTTACCTATGGCACTAATTACCACTCAATATCGAACGAAAACGAAGCAAAATCAATAAACATGCATCGCTTTGGGCGGATTTTACTAGAATCAAATTTGGGACTTAGGGCTTTTTTTTGTCGTTTGTTGTTTTAGAAATCTGTAAAGAGGGTTATAATTAGGAATAGGGTAATTAAGTTTGGTTTTAGCCGGTAAAATAATCTATGTGTTATTGTAAAAAACGTGTCAATTTTTAATTGGTTAGATTATCCATGCTGGAAGCGCATAATCAAACGCGTGAAAAAATTTAATAAGCTCAGGTCGGACGTGTTAAACTGGTGCAGTAAAAGTATAGTAAAAGTGTTTCGGTGGAAGATGGCTTAGTTGAGGTGTTCAAGTGAACTTTCTTTGATAGTTTAAGTGTCTGTCTATGTATTCTGCCATAAAAATATGAGATAGTGATGAAGATATACTTCAATTACAATGAGGTTTGGTTTTCTCTATTGTAACATGAGTTCATTCACTTAGTTATATGTCGTTATCTAGCCCATAAGGGGGAGGGATGACCTTCACTTGTATTTTCGAAGGAGAATAACCTCTTACATTTATACAATCTGGGCACAAATTCTTGTTCTGACATTCTATTGTATAGTAGTTAATTCTTGTTCTCTCTCTCTATTATTATAACTGTATAGCTCCTGAAGTTAAGAATGAGGCTCTAGTTTGATATTGAATAAACATGGCAATATGTGAGTTAGGTAGATCAATTTGGCATATCAATTGATGCATACTATTTCTTTTTTATGCTAGCGCAGTATTTAGTTCTGATGTTATTAAGACTTTAACTTTGTGATTGGAATATCAAATTCTAAAGATATTGTCCTACTTGTGACTATATTGTGTTTGCATCAGTTCAGTTCTTGCTTGCTTTAGTATAGGTTATAATACATGTGGACACTGGAGTGAACAGAAGATTCTTCATGTTCTCAAATAAGATGTACGTAGAGCAAAAGTGAGGAAGGCAAAGAAAAAGGATAAAGGTACTCAGAGGCATGTTAAGGCATTATTCACTAGCATGTTTGGTAGGTAAAGCTGGGTAAACTGACTTTTTAGCTATTAACTTCCTTCTCTCCTTAAAATTGTTGTACGAGGATTAGTTGATAGCAAATATATATCGACAAGGTAATCAAACTTTGGGCGTGTCATCTTTGGAAAGGAAATGTTCTGCAGTATATCAATTAGTTGAGCATAATACACAATTTGTCATCTTTCTCCTTCATTCTTTATCTCTTGACATATGAAACTTGCAGATTTCTATTGTTGATTTGGTCTTTATCATGTATTATCTCAGCTTAAGATCTTCCTTTATGAGTTCAACCGAAGAGCTAAATTTGGATTTGTCTTCTTTGACTTACTATCTTATTTTCTGTTTGCTAGAATGGGAAGTACATAAATACAAATCTGGTTGTTTGAGAATTAAGTTTCAGATATCTTGAAATGAATTTTTTCTGGTAACCCCAACAATTATGAATTGAAAGAGGATGCCAAGTGAATAAAGGTATTCACTTCCCGACAAGTATATCATTTTCACTCACTTTTAATTACACAAAATATTTTAAATGCCTTCCCTTCCCTTTGTTTAGCTCAGCTTTTATGTGAATAGAGATCTATATGATTATCTTTGCTATGATAGTTTAACTAAAATGTAGAGACTAATATTGTCTGAGGGTAAAATTGAGCTAGCAAATTATCTGAAGGAAGTTTTTAAGTATTGTCTCTATACAAATTGGAGTGTTGATGGAATAGAAGTCGTAACTACGCTTTTAATTTCTTGCCAGATTCTAAGATATCAATGGTAGCTAAGTGATTATAGTCACCTGTAAGAGGTACTCACTAGTAGATTACATTTCTATCTCAAAAACTATTAATCAGATAGCATATGGGAAATACCAAGTTCTATCTAGCAACATCCTTGATTTGGGTAAGGTGTTTGTATTTGGTTATTCCTAGATTAATTGAAAGTGAGTTGATTGAGTATATGCTATATGCTAAAGTTAATGTTCCTTTTGAAAAAGAAATTCACTAATCTATTTTGTCCATCGGTATACAACAATTAAACGAAAGAAAGCAACAAAATCATACTACTCTAGAGAGAATATAGCTAGATGTCTGGATGCTAAGAAAACAATTAGGAAGTCCAATAAAGCATGATTTTTGTCCATAGATTCTGTTACTCAAATCATTCGATTACATTTTCATCTCAGCACTGTAACATATATAGATTTTCCTCTACTTTTATCATTTGTTTTAGTCGTGTATATGTATATTTCTTACTTCTATGTGATAGTATTATTCCGAGTCCCCAAGGGGCAAACTCTACCACATTGCTCTAAGTTTGCACTTGCATACTATGTATTTCTATCTAATTACTAATTTTATTTTGTAGGAATGTTTTGGTGGGCAATTAAAAATTGTGCCAGAAGACTATTTGATCTATTAGAATTTAACGATAAAGATTATTTGATCTATTGGAATTTAACGATGAAGACTTTGTATAATTACGATTTTTGTAATTCTTGATACAGTAATACATTTGATTTTGTAAAGTTACAAGAATGAATCTTGAAATAATTTGCTTCGTTGTTTACGCAAGATTTAATCTTTTTTTGAAGTTCATTGCAAGTATATGAATTGGAATTATTCTTTTGTTATCTTTTACATAATTGAGTGCTTGTGATCTTCGTACGTGATTATGGAATATATACAAAAATGTATTTTATTGAATGCAAACATATGGCTTATATAAATATACAAAACAAATTAGTTCATAGCTTAGACACTTGAAGTGTGGCCATAGAAATTAAAAAATTTGTGGCTTAAATAGTAGCAAAAGCAACACTTTTAAGCGTGAACTAAAGAGTAACAAAGGCAACGTTTTTCATGTGTTGTTGTAGTATCCAAAAGTGTTACCATAGAGGGTACTACAAGCGTGGCCTTATTAATTTTTAGGCCACATTTTTCAAATGTGGCTTCTAAAGCAACACTTATAAAGCGTTTTCTTAGGGCAAATGTTACACTCATTTAGGCCACCCCTCAAAAAGCGTTGCCTTAGGTCCGAAAGTGTTGCCTTTGGTCAAATGCCACACTTTCGGATAGTTTAAGCAACACTTTTCAGGTATGGTTAAAGGCCTAAAATATTGTAGTGCTCGCTGCTGATAAAATTCATAGAGGATGTTCGACTTTCGGGTACTTGGGTCAAATTTCATCTTCTGTGGCCACTGCACCTTCGGGCCGAGCTTCTCTAGTGCGTACACTATTTCTAAAGGGAAAACACAAAAATTGTGAGCAGATAAGAGCGGAGGCATACCTCTTTCGCTCCGCTGAGTCCTTGTATGCGGCCTGGACGGTCCTTCCGCACTGCGAGGAGATGGTGGGACGGCTGTTCTGACAATAGGTTGGTGCCTGTTTCGGTTGAGGAGTGGACCCGGATGATCTCTTCGAGCGTCACTACGACGGTCTTTCCTCGGCTCTGTTTGGACCGATGTTAACCGTTGCATCGGACCATTAAGGTCGTCCTCGTATGCTCTCACCTCAGTGCAGTAGGCGTTGTGAATTTCTTCCCAAGTGGTGGGAGGGTATTTCATGAGTCTGCTTAATAGTTTTCTTGTCGCTCTTGACCC